GAAGTACGAAGGCGGGCGGAGTAGGGAGCGCGCCACGATCTGGTGAGCTCGTCATGGACCTCCGGGAAGAACGGAGAGGAATGCTGACGAGGGGTCTGGCGGCGCCCCGGCAGGAACCACTCATCCAGACAGCTGCGGGAGGGCTACTCTGGCGGAGACCACTCCAAACCCAGCTCTTTGACCGCTTTGGAGAGGATACGGAGAAGCTCGGCATCCATCCCGTCTTTGGTGGCGCTAGGCGTGGACGATGGCGAGGGGGTGGGGTCAGTCAACGAGCCCAACAGCTCCTCTGCATTCGATGCTGCTAATGACATGCTGTCATCAAGCAGCTCATCCTCACTTCCCCCAAATGAGATCAGGTCGCTCGCACCAGCAGAGGGACGCGGATCAGACTGGGAGAAAAGGACAGGAGAATACTCTCTCTGGGGCGAGAGCGAGGCACGCGGGATCTGGGCCGACGTGAGCTCGCTCGCAGCCGGTCGCTCGAGCCCTCTGCCCCACTGTTTTTCCTCACAGGTCCCTGGGAGGAAGAAAACGGGAGGGCGCGAGGGGCGGAGCCGCTCTCTGTAAAGAAAGTGATCTGTGAGCGGAGACTGAAGTTCTCGCAGTGAGAACAAATAGTTCCCGTGAGCGCAGCTTCCGCATGGGATTTCTCCAAGCAGGAAACGCACTCCGTGTGGCCGTCATCGGCGTGCAGAACCACAGTAACGGATCGGAACTGCTGCGTCGCTGAAGCGGCGGAGAAGCAGGTCAGCCGTGCTGAGAGGTCCTGATTACAGCTGCGAAGGCGTGTCAAAGGCGAGCGGCTTCAGATCAGCGTAGAGACATAGAGTCGTCGCTGAAGGAGAAGAAATCTGAGAATCCTGTGGCGAACGCCCGCTTATATAGCCAGATGCCCCGCCCATTCTGGTGGGCTTTAGCGGACTTCATCGCCATAGGCTCGTGCAGCTCCGCCGCCTAGTCATTGGTTAGTTTTTAATACACTGCACGAACCAATGGCCGTGCAGTTTCACTGCGTGAATGAAAAAAGGCTTCAGTTCAGGAGAAAAAAGGCTTTTTCCCATATGCGTCTATGCGTACGAGTGTAATATCGAAAGGGAACTCTAATGAACAGAAGAAACTTCATTAAAAACATTTAAAAATCATAATGTTTCCAACTGAAGTACTCTACAGGAGTAACAAGGAGAGCGACAGATGTACCAGATAGGGTTTGGGAGCGTTTCCTGAGGTGCTGGTCTGCCAGAGACTGAGCGCTCCGTCTGCATCCACGATCCCGAACTACAACACACACACACACACACACGAGCTGGTTTAGACATGCTACAGTCACACACAGTGCTCTCACACTAGTGATTCCTAATGACTGTGACGCACCTTATTGCCCTGATAATTGAATCTTATCCTGGTGACCCTGCAGTTTCCGGGGCTCCTGAAGCAGGTGATCTGCTGTGAGTGACCCCACTCAAACATGCGCACGCTGCCGTCCTGAGCTCCAGTCAGATCTACACACACACACACACACACACACACAAACACAAACACGCACACGCACAAACATAAACACACAAACACAAACACACACACACGAACAAACAAACACACACACACACAAACACACATGTTTGTTGCATGTTTTTGTCATTTTTATTAGTTTTTGTTTTAACTTTGTCTATTTTTATTTATTAATTTAAGTTATTTTAGAACAAAGTTGAGAGATGTCACCTTGGCAACTAGCATTTTATTTCAATTAATGTTTATTTTATTTCAAATACTTAATGTTTTTATTGTTTTAGTTTTTATTGTCATATCAGCATCTATGGCTGTTTTCATAGCAAGATCAATGTATTTTAAAATAAACCAACAGTAGTAATGAAAAACAGCCACTGACGACCCACTCACATCATTACTGATGATCTTTCATTTCAATATTTGATAAAAAATGTACGATTATTCCTGATGAAACGTTTCTGAAAACATTCACTGAGATCTTTCTGAGCCTAGTGGCATTTAAAGCAACTAAACATGCTTTATAAACAGAGGAATCTGACAAAAATGACACGTATGTGACCCTGCAGCACAAAAGCAGTCTTAAGTCGCTGGGGTATATTTGTAGCAATAGCCAACAATACATTGTATGGGTCAAAATTATAGATTTTTCTTTTATGCCAAAAATCATTAGGATATTAAGTAAAGATCATGTTCCATGAAGATATTTAGTAAATTTCCTACCGTAAATATATCAAAACGTAATTTTTGATTAGTAATATGCATTGCTAAGAACTTCATTTGAACAACTTTAAAGATGATTTTCTCAATATTTAGATTTTTTTGCACCCTCAGATTCCAGATTTTCAAATAGTTGTATCTCGGCCAAATATTGTCCTATCCTAACAAACCATACTTTAATGGAAAGCTTATTTATTCAGCTTTCAGATGATGTATACATCTCAATATCGAAAAATTGACCCTTATGACTGGTTTTGTGCTCCAGGGTCACATATGTTGTTAGTTAGAGTGAGCGGTGTGTAAGCGGGTGTGGATGCAGTCACTCACAGTAGGGCAGCGTGGGGTGTGACGTCATCCGCCTCACGTTGTTGATGTTGCGTTTGATGAGCTGCGTGAACACAGAAGAGCGTGACTGAGTGTTAGCATGTCCGGAGCGGGACAGATTGAGTGTTGTTAGCGTGGCTCACCACAGCGGCTCCTCGGCCCGTCTGCAGGCCCCCCAGCCAGGGCATGTTGATGGGTGTCCCGGGGCTGCTGTGGGTGTAGGGTGTGCTGCCGTGAAGCGCGCTGAAGTCGTCCCGAGCGTGAACCACCAGGAAGTCATCCGTCCTGCCAAACAACACAAGCACATCACATGATCACACACACTTCCTCTCAGGAACTCCAGCTGACAGTAAATGTGAGTGTTTACTCGAGAACAACACTGCAGCATAATGTTGGGAACCACTTCCACTTAGTGTTAATTTCATTAAAAGTATGACGAAAAATGTTCATTGAGCTTTTTTCCCATGACTAAGACGGGACAATGACAATAAGCTCAATAAACAATAACTGTGACTATATCAACATGCAATATCGTTGACGATAAAAGAGACTAAAATGTATTAAAAAAAATAAAAACTATACCAACATTTATTTTATAAAGCGAAGAGTTCCGGTCCTTGACTCTGATTGGCTGAGCCACGTTCGAAGCTCAGTGAAAGGGGGTTTTAACAACGCCCCTTAGCTGTTATAAATTCACTGTAAACCACGGCTTCTTGGGGCTTACTGCTTTATTCATTTTCGTCAAAAACAAGAGACAAAATATTGCGGCCTGCTTTACATTCCTCTACTGCACGAGCGTTCATGTGTGCGGTTGCCAGATATCAAGACTTCAAATCCGCAAATCAGCGCTTCTCTGTTAAAAGGATGCATTTTCTGCTTGGTGTTTTGCTTATTTTTTGCAATCTGGCAACCATGTGCCTCGGAAGCACCGACGATGATCTGTCACGAGATCTCGGCTGAATAAATGCTCTTACTCAACCGCTGTTGCTTTAATAGAGGAACATCACTGCAATTTGGAATTACTATCAGGAATTTTACTGTTAAAATATTTTTTGCCAGTTCTCATGATGCAGACAGAGAGAGTGCATATCTAAGTCTGTGATATTAATTTATATATTAAATAGCCTGTAATAAATCAGTACACTAGATGAGGTCAAATAAAGTCCACATTCTATTGATTTGTGCTTAATGGCGAAAGCGCAGTACCTGAAATGTAAAAATACATTTCTCAAACGACAACAATCTTTTCGATTATGATTTTGAACAAAAAATGTATCAGTTTAACTATTATACAGCATGACGGAAATGTGACGACAAGTCTAGAACTAGACTAAAATGCTCAGACGTTTAGTCGACTGAAACTTGACTAAACAAAAACACGACAAGCTTGACTAAATATGATAAGACACCAGGACTAAGACTAAGACGGCTGACAAAATTAACACTACTTCCAGTGTTTTTTCATACTATGGAAGTCAATGGCTACCGCCAACTGTATACATCCTTCAAAATATCTTCCATTGTGTTCAGCAGAAGAAAGAAACTCATACAGGTTTAAAACGACATGAAGGTGAGTAAATGACAGAATTGATATTTTTGGCAGAACTGTCCCTTTAAGACGTTGCATTGCAGTTTTTAGCTGGAAAATGACTCTTTGTTATTGTCCTTGTGCATTATTGACAACCTATTTTCCTGTTTGACTCTGTGAAGCTGCTTTGACACAATCAGTATTGTATAACGCGCTATAGAAATAAAGCTGACTTGACTTGCTAAGGCAGGATGACTGTACTCGAATGCGGAGCTCACCCTTTGACCTCGGCCTCGTTCTCGTCATCGACCCAGGTCAGGATCTGCGAGGCGAGGATGTAGGACACATCCAGCTCCTGGATGTCGTGGCTGGAGGCGATCACTAAACAGTTGCGATTGGCCTGGAAGACAGAGAGAGGCTGCTTACATGCGGCGCGTCACAGATCACACGCAAGCACAGCCGCAGCACGTCACAGCACCTTATTGATGGCGAACGCCGTGATGATGTCAGACTCCTTGTGGATGATGCGAGCCTTTCCTCCAGGAAACCCCAGGTCGGCCTCGATCTGCACAAACACTCACCACTTATCATCTTTATTATTCAGACATTTATCCTGACTAGTGATAAAGTGCACCGGTTGAAAATCGATAATAATAAGCAGTGTTGGGGGTAACGCATTACAAGTAATGTGAGTTACGTAATCAGATTACTTTTTTCAAGTAACTAGTGAAGTAACGCATTACTTTTTAATTTACAATTTTCAAAATTTAATTTACAAAAAAGTTACTTTTTCAAATAAGTAACACCAGTTACTCCCCCCCCCATTTATTGATTGACAGCTCTCCTGTCCCCAAAAATCGGGAAGATGTTACTTTACTTCTAGACTAAATGTGAACATGCATTAATTAATCTCACTCACAAATTAAATAGCCTGTAATAAATCAGTACACTAGATGAGGTCAAATAAAGTCCACATTCTATTGATTTGTGCTTAATGGCAAAAGCGCAGTACCTGAAATGTAAAAATACATTTCTCAAACGACAACAATCTTTTCGATTATGATTTTGAACAAAAAATGTATCAGTTTAACTATTATACAGCATGACGGAAATGTGACGACAAGTCTAGAACTAGACTAAAATGCTCAGACGTTTAGTCGACTGAAACTTGACTAAACAAAAACACGACAAGCTTGACTAAATATGATAAGACACCAGGACTAAGACTAAGACGGCTGACAAAATTAACACTACTTCCAGTGTTTTTTCATACTATGGAAGTCAATGGCTACCGCCAACTGTATACATCCTTCAAAATATCTTCCATTGTGTTCAGCAGAAGAAAGAAACTCATACAGGTTTAAAACGACATGAAGGTGAGTAAATGACAGAATTGATATTTTTGGCAGAACTGTCCCTTTAAGACGTTGCATTGCAGTTTTTAGCTGGAAAATGACTCTTTGTTATTGTCCTTGTGCATTATTGACAACCTATTTTCCTGTTTGACTCTGTGAAGCTGCTTTGACACAATCAGTATTGTATAACGCGCTATAGAAATAAAGCTGACTTGACTTGCTAAGGCAGGATGACTGTACTCGAATGCGGAGCTCACCCTTTGACCTCGGCCTCGTTCTCGTCATCGACCCAGGTCAGGATCTGCGAGGCGAGGATGTAGGACACATCCAGCTCCTGGATGTCGTGGCTGGAGGCGATCACTAAACAGTTGCGATTGGCCTGGAAGACAGAGAGAGGCTGCTTACATGCGGCGCGTCACAGATCACACGCAAGCACAGCCGCAGCACGTCACAGCACCTTATTGATGGCGAACGCCGTGATGATGTCAGACTCCTTGTGGATGATGCGAGCCTTTCCTCCAGGAAACCCCAGGTCGGCCTCGATCTGCACAAACACTCACCACTTATCATCTTTATTATTCAGACATTTATCCTGACTAGTGATAAAGTGCACCGGTTGAAAATCGATAATAATAAGCAGTGTTGGGGGTAACGCATTACAAGTAATGTGAGTTACGTAATCAGATTACTTTTTTCAAGTAACTAGTGAAGTAACGCATTACTTTTTAATTTACAATTTTCAAAATTTAATTTACAAAAAAGTTACTTTTTCAAATAAGTAACACCAGTTACTCCCCCCCCCATTTATTGATTGACAGCTCTCCTGTCCCCATGTTGAGAGAAATCAGAAGATATTACTGTAGTTCCAAAATAAATATGAATATGCATTAATTCATCTCACTCACAAAAAAAAAACAAACACAGATTCAGTATTCCTCAAAAAGAATAAAAATAATGCAACTCAGAATATATCGCAAACCTGCAATAATTAAATGTTAAACAACACAAATATCCTTTATGTACTTAATCCCATTCTATTAACCAATGCCTTTGCTTCTGACCTTCGATGATTCAGTTCAACCGTACTAATAAGCTAAAAATCAGTTTTTCTCAAAATTAATACAATTAATAAAACCAACTCAGAATACATAATTAAATATGTTAAATAATACAAATATCCTTTATGTATTTAATCCCATTTTATTAAGCAGTGTCTTTGCTGCTGACCTTCGATGATCCAATTCAACCGTACTAATAATCAAAAATTACTCAAGATAAACTAACATTTGTTCTTTTTTTTATTG